TGTTATAGCTCCTGAAAAATTGTCTGCCAGTGCCAGGCGTCGTCAAGAAATTCAGGTACACACGCACCAAATAAGTATTAAAAGGTGATCCTTAAAAGTTAATGAATTCATATTTTCAGTATCGCCTACTGTACAGAAATACATCCTGTTCTTTATTCATAAAATAAACTATGAACAACACAGAAGGTTGAAAGCAAAGACCACCTTTTTATAACATTTTGGATCTTGGGGATTGTGTATGACATGGCTACTCAGCCATAATTGTATGTACATATTAGAAATCTTATTTTAGTGGGAACCATGGTTCTGGAATTTTTCTTTTTTATTCAGTAAGTGCTGGAACATGTTAAAGGTGCAAGTTCAGCATGCTGTTAATTTGTAATATGTATGTAACAGATACTTACATATTTCATGACGCTATCTCAAACTAAAGGTCTAAAGAAAACAGCAGATTTAAGCACACAACCCTGCCTAAAATGTAATCTTGTAATAATGTAGAAAAGATTAAATGATACTAGAAACAAATGTCGAGAGTTAGTCATTCATGCTTACTGGCTTCGAGATATATGGAGTACATGGTAAAACATAACTGTAATGTTATCCCCCTTTCAGCCCAAATGTGGGTGTGCAACAAAAAATCCCCCCCTATAAATAGTTCTCGGAACCCAAATAAAGAAGTGGATTTTATTCTCTGAGCTTTGAGCTAAACAGACTTGCTGCTTTTGGGTTTCTGACATATAAAAGCATCTTTCCAAGGTACAAAAGACAATGCAGTGCAAGGCTGCAACTACATCTGTAAAGTACTACCTTTGCAGTATTGCTTGCTCTGGGAAAAAGTGTTACAAGGCATGACTTGTACTTTGGTTTGGCTTTCAAATCGGTCATCCTTCAATTAGAGATGATTCACTGTATCCAGTCACAGGTTCTCATGTTTCTCTGAAAGGTTATTTAACACCCAGAAACAGAAAGGAAGTTTTCACTATATACGTGAGAATACACATTCTAACGTGCTGTTCAGTCTACTTTAGTACAGTATTACCAAGTATTTAGTATCAGTATTATCAAGTGTTTACCATTGCTGCAGGAGTGGCTCAGCCCCAGTCTCCTTCCTGTCTACTCATCAAGGATTATGATGGAATTGTTACTGAAAATTATATTAAATGTGAATTTTAGCTTAAATATTATGTAGTTCTGTATCTCGTGTTAGAAGCAGCCTCTTCTGTTAAAGTAAGTGTTCCCGATGTCTGTCACACAGAAGCAGTGTATTTTACTTTGGTGCATCTTTTGTTGCCAGGTGCAAACAAGACTTCAGACATTCATTTCTAGCCTGCAACAGAAAACAAGTGAGATTGAGATTTTAGCAGTAAGTATTTGGCAGAAGCCTGAATTAATTTCAGTTTCTTAATTGAATTGGATGATGTAGTTGCTGTCTGGATCTTTCCATCATGGAATCTGTCATGAACAGTTTATTTAAAATGCTTAAAACCTCGGTAATATCCAGTTCTACCAGCGTGAGTGCTTCTTTGGAAATAAAAAAGTCTGACTCCTTTCAGTATAGCTAACCTCTAATTAGCAAACTGGTAACAGAAGAACTGTAAAGTATTGATTTCTTTGTATTTTTACAGGTAGACCTGCCAAAAGCAACTATGATACACTTCTTGTCATTAGAGGTAAGCAATTAAATATTGTCATTAAAACTCTAATTGAACAATAGATGATAAATTCTTTTCCTAATGAAGAGGAATGTAAAATTCATCTATAAAAGTTTTTCTCCTTCAAGGAGTTTGAATTAGGTTTTAAAACTTGTAAAAATCATTTTTACCCAAGGAGCTTGACTGAGGCTAGAAAAATCCTGCTGCTCTGAAGTAGTGCTTGTCTGGTCATCAGATCCCAGTGCAAGGTTTGAAAATATTTTCAAAATACTTAGTTCATCCAGTCTGTCCAAGTCATGGAGATATAGATAGATAGATAGTTTATCACTCCTTGCTTACAACAACCAGGCACGTGAACGGTTCGCATCGTTCGCTTTTCACCACCCTTATACCACAGTTCCCATGTTCTGTCCAGCATTGTGAAACTGATACAGCCCTTTTAATTGCTTACATGTTTTTATTGCTAAACTATCTGTGTTAAGAAATCAGTGATCAGTTTCTTAGTACATTTTGTTAGAATTCAAAAAAACCCAAGATGCACATGTTCTTTATATGAATTTTTTTTGAAACATTTAATTAAGGAGCACTGACATTACACAGTGTTCCGAAGATTGAATCCTCTTGGGAGAAGTGTTTCCTTCACAAGAGAATATAAGATTGTATCATAGATCCTTGTCAATTTTTTTTAGTTTGATGGAGATCGACAAGCCTTTGATGCTACCGTGAGACAGCTGATGTCACGATGGCCAAAACAGAGATGTTCGTACTTACAAGCAATTTGTGATGAAATTTACAGTATCAAAATGGAAAAGAGGTATATTTGTTAAACTCTTATATGTACATAAAATACCTCAATTATTTCTGCCTTCAAACTTTACTAAATAAGCTGCTCTTAGTTTGTCCTCCCCTTTCCCTCTCCCTAAGGAAGAAAGAAGTATTTCCAAAACATTTATAGTTCCTTGAGCATGGGAAGAGTTTACTGGCCATTTAATCCCCACTTGTGGTCAAATGTAAATTCTTGGATGTGTAAATTCTTTTTATTAGCCTTTTCAAGAAGTTCTAAAATGTATTCCCACTGTTACCTCATTTGCTGCTTTGTTCATAAAACTGAAGAGCGAACAATTGCATACAGTCAGGTATAATGCTCTTTTACAGAAGAATACCTCTTTATATATACTATATATATAAATATATGTATGTATTTAATATACTACAGAAGAACCCTCTTTTCTCATGGGAGGGACTCAGCTTGCCTTTTAAAATTCATTGAATTCCTCCTGCTTTGAAGGAATACTGTGGGAATCTGGCATAGCTGACAGACTTCAAGCAAACACAATGCATGCTCTGTCAACACCTGCAGTAAAGCCCATTTCTGTTTTCTAAGCATAAAACCATTCATGTTCAACTTGTAGTCTCCTTGTTGGATTCTGGCAAGGCTGAAACAGGCCGGGCACATCTGGTTTTAAGACTCAAATTTGCATCTTTTGGCATGTACTGGTACAGTTCAGTGAGACCTGGGTATTTATATCCCGTTGTGGGTTTCATTTGTAGTACATTTGCTTAAACCCATGTTCAGCTTGAAGGTATTACTTAACCTTTAAATAAGACTAAAAACTGACTTCGACTCCTTTTTCAAGATACACCGAAATTGCTTATGTTTACCATGGCAACTAATTATCACATGAAATGTTGTTTTCTTCCTGCGGCTTGCAAGGCTGTGAGCAACAGAACCCAGTTACTACATCCAAACAGCAGTCCATGATTTGGGGAATTTTACTGGGTATGAATGTAACAGTCCCTGACAAAGTCTTCCTTTCCTGTCTGATGCCTGCACAGAGTACTGCTTAGCCATAAGCCTTCAGATCACTGAATGAAAACTGAACAGGCTAAATGGAAAGAGAATGAAGGGGAAAATTGCAGCCACATCCAAAGAAACTAAAACTTCCTGCTTTTCTACTGAATCTTTGCTGTTAGCTTATTGCTGAGCTTTGCCACAGGTATTACAGCTTTTGAAGTTGCAGTTCCAAAGGTTAAACCTCTTTCTCTTTTCCTTCTCTCTGCAGGGTTCCTGCACTTATCCTCTACAGTTACCGAGATGAATACAAGGTTTTGTTTTAGTGCTTACAGCATCTTTTGTGGGATGCTTTTACTAACAGACAACAGTGTTTTGTCAAAAGGAGCTTCAAAAAGCTGCAATAATTTACAACAGGCAACTACTGCCTTTTTATGTGTCCAGATTGAATTTCATGTGTAATATAAAATTGTAAACTTATGTCAAATAGTGGAAATAAATGTTTTATAGGCAATTCAGGAGCAAGTCTGACTACAGCCACACATACGTATTACCATGTAATTTTCATCCCTTATGCCACAAAAGAGATTATGAGCTGTGAATGTAAGATTTTTTTTTTAATGGTTTCAGAATGGCTGTCAACATGCAATGGCAGTACTGAAACTAAGCTCAAGGATCAGAGAGGATGAGTTATCTTCTAACAAACTGTTTTAAGCTTTTTTGAATAAGGGGTTTTATGTGATAAAAGGTTTTGGCTACTGAGCCTTCTTGAGAAGTTTATTGCAAGCTTTTTGTGGTGGGCTTTTTGAGTTGGTACAAGCCTGGCTGCTTATGCTTGTCCTGCCTGTACTTTTGCATTCAAATCCAGCAGCTGCTTTCAGGGTGGTGAAGTAAGAACTGATACAGGAAAAACTTGCTTCAGACCTAACGGACCTAAACCTAGGCCTTTTAAGAGAAGTAAAATCCTGCACATGCTAGAGGCATAACCAAAGTTTTGAACTACCTTTCTTCACATGCGTCATCAGATTTAAGTTTGAAGGTCACAGTAATGATGGGAATCTTAAAATTATCTTCTTGAAGCTAAACTGTAACACAACCCCATCACGAACAGTGAAGCGGAGCAAATACAAAGATGAGTTACAGCAGCCACAGTTACCTATGCATTGTATTTCACAAAATAATTACAGAGTGAATATGCAGAATTTAAGAGATTTCTGCAGATACACTGGTGTTCACCCTCCATCCGCACCTGATACGTTGTTTAAACAGCTTGTTGCTGTTTCTTTAATTCAGATGATTTCCTTTACCACTGCAGGCTCATTGCCTTAAGAAATATCTACTTAGATTTCCTGCTCTCTTCTTGTAGTAAGGAAGACAAAGATAAAATATGTAAAGAGATGATAACTTCAAAGACAAACCCAAAAACTTCTGAGAACTGTTGAAGTTGTAGCAGCAATACATGAAGTAGCATCAGGAGTGTCAGTCCTGAAGGCAAAGATAACTACCATACCTAGCAATTCATCAAGACAAGTTACATCACTCATTACAACCAAATCCATTTCTCACTGTGTTTAATAGGAACAATTAAGTATTCACCTTTTACATCTGCTCATATAAAGGAGCTACTTTGTAAGATACGAAGTATGGGGAAATTCAGATCCCTGAATATACGGAAGGATGAAGCTTTAAAAAAGTCTAGGGGACATGAGCATTTTTAAGCCATGTCAGAAGGGAACATGATGCATAGTCCTGCCCTCCCCCCACCCTGAGCCAGGGTGAGCACAGCTGGATCAGCATGGAGCAAAGGCACAGCTGCCTGGCTCTGCAAGAGCTTGAGCACTGTGCTGGCTGCCTTAGGGATATCTGCACTGCATCACGTAGACATGTCTCTCAAAATAAGACAGAAACAGGAAAGCTGCTGTTCCTGGTAATATGTTGGCACCCACTCTCCCTAGTACTACCAAGGCTTATCTATAAACCTGGGCCCCTGTCACTGAGACACCTGCTCCAGTCTTAATTTGCTCATGGTACATTTCTCTTCACCCTGTGTTACCCCTAAATAGGTTTTACGCCACCCACTTGTATAATACAAAACAAACAGCAGTATAAGTACAAAACTAGTTGGCAGACGAGTGTAAAGCTATTTCAGTATAACTTTGTGGATACTCCTGCCATACAACAATCCACAGAAAGCACCTTCTGCTCTCAGTTTAAACAAAAGTACTGATCGCATCCAATATCCTGCTGGAAGGAAAGCCAAAGACAAGTGGTAACTCAAAAAGAAATGGACTTTGCTTTGAGCAAGGGTCAAGTCTGTTATAGCGATGGTAGGACATTCTTCCATCACTGTGTTGCTTTACTCTTCTTGTTTTTGCTTTTCTTGTCTTTTTTCTTCAAGCCATCCATGTTAGCTCTCAGCAAATTTGAATATGCCTGAAATAACAAATGGAACCATTAGGAGAACAAATAATTAAGTGACAATATACTAGAAATAGCATTTTACATATTGCTAATGGGGACAGGTATCTGCATTATCTGAGACAAATCATGCTTTTACACCCCACACTGGGAAAATTGTTTCTAAATCAATGCAGAAAGTCAAATGAAATACAATGAGGGTTTTTTGTTTGTTTTTTTTTTTTAACAAATGCAGCTAGATGGGTATTCTGAGGTTAATCTGCATGGCAGCTCTGCACTGAACCAACCTCTTCACAGCTGTCCAGTGCTTCCTACTGACCACTCCCCAGTACCTACAGAAAAGATAACAAAGCATACAAAACTTACCATCTGGAATTTATTTACTTCCTTGGAGCTCACCTACAAAATAACGGTGGAGGTTAGCCAAGAAAACATTGACTTCTATTACAAACCAAGTATCAGGGCATGTTTACTCATCAAGTGAATAGCCTAGCAGCAGTCAGATCAACTCACTGCATCCAGTGGTAAGTACACTGTGCTAAAATGTCCTAGGACTTCATCAATTTAGAAAACTGAAAACACTCCTTGCTCAATTAATAAAATTCTCTGGAGGCCATTCATCCCAAATCCATGTCTTTTCAAATGGAAAGAACATGAAGAAATATTCTGAGGAAGGATTTATTACTCGTAGGGCCATAAAAATATGTTATTGCCCAGATTCTCTCATGTATTTCTCAAAGTAACATTTTTCCTGAGTTGCATCACAGAGGAGAGCTAAATTCAGCTAAAGTTAAAATACAAATAGCTCTCTGAAAAAATAAAATGTATGGTAAGCAAGATTAAGGCTTAAAAGACTCTACCCCTGTGTTCTTGCCAAGAAACAAGGATCCTTTTCTTACTGGTTCACAGTCTGGTAACATTCAGTTCTTTCATGGATTGTAAGACCCTTCAGTAATTTCACTGAGGTCTATACAAACTACCTCTTTGTCATATGAGGCTTGAGGGTAGGTGTGCAGGACCTTTCTTCTCCTTGGAGCCACACATCTGTGCACATACTGCAGGCTCCATATCTGCCCTGCATCCTTCTGCCATGTCTCTAGCAGCAGTTTCCCCATTCCCTCCAAACGAGTTCACCAACTCAAACTGTAACAGCCAAGGTTGCTGAAAACAGGCAGAGTCCCTTTCTGCTGACCTGCAGTACTATTCTGAAGCAAAATCCCACATACAGAACAAACCTATGAACTACTGTCCCATCCGTAATGCTAAGTGTTAAGCACTAGAACTTCAGGTAAGTGTAACACTTCAGCATCCCAGCATCAGTGGTGTGTTTAGCTACCATATGGTTTCTCTGGAATTAAAAGGGTAGTTCTCATGAAATTCATGTAGACAAATTTCACTTATCATACAGGCCATTACACACAAGACAGGTAGGGCTACTGGTCTTTCTAACCCAAAGCTGCCACTTACCACTGTACTAATTTTCTTCTTTCCATCAGTTGCTCTTAGAAGACATTTATTGTCTGCTGGTTCAAAACTTTCTACATGGCCTTTGCGTGGGACTGGTTTTGTTCGGCCATCATCTGTATTGAAAGGCAGAGAATGTTTATTCATATTTCACTAAAATCACTAGATGCCTCCTGACATGAGATGTTAAAAACTGATGATGAGATCTGTAAATCACCGTGGAATCTAAGGCCATCAGAACTGACACTGCCATGAACTTGTTCACAAAACCCTTCCTCTGTAACCCCAGAAGGATCCGTTCAATAAACTACATCTGCCATGAAATCATTCACAGAATGGTTTGAGTTGGAAGGGACCTTAAAGATTAGCCAGTTCCAACCCTCCAGCCAAAGGCAGGTACACCTTCCATTAGACTAGGTTGCTCAAAGCTCCTGCTTCAGCAACAGTATGTTTTAAATGCATGTCAAACCACAGCCTAAGACACCTGATTTCTCAAGTAGTGCCAGCCCGCCAGAAACCAGATAAACATGCACAGACAAAAGCAACACTATGTTCTTCTTTCATAGAAGTCTACAGATTTCCAGTTATTACTTAATAATTAGCCCCAATATTTCCTGCGGTTTGGAATACAGCCTAATCTTCAAGGTTATCAGTACTGCAGCTAAGATGACTGACCGGTCCATAGAACTCCTCTTGTTTTGAGATACTGTGAATCACAGCTGTACCTTTTAAAACACATGCTAACCACACGAGGTTGGATATAGAGGCACACCTCTTCAACCCAGTAACAGAGTCGGAACTTACATTTCTTCAGCGTTATGAAAACACTCCCCGAAGTCCTGCACTTCTGAAAGAGCCTGGTCAGCTCCGTCAAGAACTGCAAGAGACAGACCCCATCCTTGGTGGGAGGCCACCACACGGGCCTTCACTCCTCCCCCCTCACCCCCGTGCAG